CTTTTATAGCCACAAATCTGTAACGGTAACATTTCAAAGGTAGTTCTTTTATTGTATTTTAGGGCCAATAGAACAATCTGCCTTAAGTCTTTTATTCAATCATTGGCTTCTTTCTCCTTTCATTGGAAGATTATTGCATAACCACTGACTTATTTCCAGAAAGACATGCTGGAAGTGTAGGATTAGGAGACATAGAAGGTTGTAATGTAAATAAAGAACTACTAGGTGTTTTTTTCTCTCTACATGGAACTTACCTATTTCTATCATCATTCTTGGTGTTTGCTTTCTAATGGTTGGAAGCTTTGCCAGTTTCACTGTCCATACTCAAATACATTGATATACTAAAATTTTTAATGTGGTTCTATATAATTATTGTCAGTAAAGCTTATGTTTCTTGAAGACTTCCTTGTGATAGAATGTGGATGATCAAAAGTAAACAGTATTTTTTAAATGTTTGAGTTTTTAGTATGAAGGAACCAAACAAAAATGGCAATTTCCAATCTAATTTTTAAGAGCTATAAAATATATAGTTAATATTATTATCTGCATATCCTTCTGCTTGCTTGACATAAAATAGAGTAACTTACTTATTAAAATTCTAGTTTCCAGTTCATGGTAGCAAGAACTGATAGAACCAATTCTTTAATAGGTGACTTAACAAAATCTAAACAAAAAATGTTAAAAAAAAACCAGAATAGCAATCTAAAAGAGGCAAATATTCGAGCAGAGATTTCTTTTGATAAATTCTATATTAGTCAACTTTTTCATTACTATAATGGACTGCTTGACAATTTATGGCAGGAGAGATTTTTTTTTTTTTTGCTCATAGTTTCAAAGAATTCAGTCCACAGTTCCTTGACCCCATAATTATGTGCAGAATACCATGGCAACAGGAGCCTGTGGTAGAAAAGGTTCTTTACCACATGATGGATAGGAACAAGAGGGGGGAGAGAGACAGAGGCAGAGATAGACAGACAGAGACAGAAAGGAGAAACGCAGTGGACTCAGTATAACTCTCAAATGCATGCCCACAGTGACCTACTTTCTCCAAGAAGACCCAACCTCCTAAAGCTTCAAGAACCTTCCTAAACTGTGCTGCCAGCTGGGGCCTGAGCATGACCATTAGGGGCGCATTTCATATTGAAGCCCTAATGGAAGCCTTTCAAATTCTTCAATCTTTACAGCTGTCAAAGTAGAAAACCAGTTTACGAGCATGTGATATGAGGGGGCAGAGGACATAATGGTTCTGGAAGACAGCTAAAAAGTTAGGGAGGAATGCTGGGAGCAAGAAAGTAGCAGAATAACAGATTCACAATTTGAGTATAAAGAAATCCTGAGTCCTCAAATCTGGTTGACTACGAAATCCCTCCCAACTTGACAATACCCAAGGGAAGCCCAAACCAAAACAATACACACACACACACACACACACACACACACACACACACGAAATCGATAGCTACAACTGCACTGGTTTGAGATATATATTTGTTAATTTCTCTTTATGTCTGAGTGTGCCCATTTTAGGAAACTCAGAGCAGAAGACTTACTGTTTTAGGTATTACAGGACAGAGTCTGGAACTAGGTGAGCACCTTGAAACTTTGAGGAGGAACTGCAGGAGCAAGGAAACATCAAGAGGAGGGACACCCGAGGTATAGTTTCTATTCAACTGCTTAGTTGATCACCCAGTTACTTAGATATAGGAAAGACACTCGGGAAAGTCTAAAAACAGCAGAAGCTGGAGGGTGAGGAAAGCAGAGGAAAAAGCAACAGAGATGGCTGCTGCCTGGGGAGACATACAGTTTGAAATCTGAGTCCAAGCAGATGAACTGAGGACTAGCACAGAAATCCAACTGTCCTCGGAAGAAAATAACAGCATTAAGAGTTATTACAGATAGTATCCATGACGTCTCTCCTCCCCCTGCCCCGCCTCGTCATTTATTAGGTACTTGTTTTAATTTTATGGCACAGTGACAGAATGCTTGATATAAACAACTTGTGAAAATGGCTCTGTTTTGGCTTTGCCATGCTCTTATCATCATGACAGAAGCAAACTTCTGAAACAATGAGTCAAAGTGATCAATCCTCTTTCCCTTTAAGTTGTTCTCTTAAGTATTTTGATCATAGTGACAAGAAAGGTAATGCACTATTCAGTTGCCTTGATTGGTGCATTATAGTCACTTGAGAAATATGGATTGTTTTGCCTCCTAATCATCCAAACTCCTCTGTGCCCTACATACTTGACCAACTTACATACATGAATGGCTCACCTTCTAGTTTCTGGTTAGGTTCAACCAATGGGGGACAGTAGGAACTAAGATGGCAGGTAGAGAGTAAAATTGGGCTGGTTCCCCCATAGCTCTATCTTTGATGATTCATCATAGGTTCACTGCTTTCTTTTACTAAAGGTAACAGGTCCCATAGAATGGCCTCCTCTTCACAATTATTCTTTTATGGTTTTAATCAGGCTCCCTCATGTTGATCTTAAGGCCTAAGATTAGTAGTGGTTTCCTACTGGTAAAAGCCTTGCTTGTTTTTCTTACTTCTACCTAGACACTTAAAAATAAACGTTTTTAAATTTTAATAGTGTAAGTATTTCTGGACAGATTTGCATGGATGTTAAAATATCATTGCAGCAACTATAGTGGTACCTACTGTTAGTCTTTAACTCTTACCTGGTTTATGATCCTTGGTTATTTTTTCCATTTTTACCTGTTAATAGAATGAGCTCTGGAGTCAGACTCTGTAATACAGGTTTGACTTCTAGCTCTTTCTAAGAAATCTGTGTTGATAGAAATATTCTATATCTGCAATTATCTACCACAGTAGCCACTAACCACAAGTGAGTATTTGAAATGTGACTGATTTTTAAAATTCTAATTCATTTTAAAATTATTTAAATTTCAGTAGGTCTGGGTGGTAGCACTCCCAGACTGAACAACACAGACTCTGCCTAGCACATCATAACGGGTACTTAGTAAACTTTTGTTAAACAAATGGATAACTTTCCACCAGCTATTGAATGTTAAGATGTTTTAGTGTTAATAAAAGGATTAGCACCTGATTAGCAACAGACATGGTTCTGAGAACTGTCTACATTATCACATGAAAACTTCTCAAAAAGACCATAAAAGAAATACCACTATCTCTGTTATATAGATGAGGACATTGAGCACAGTAAACCAACTGGAGCCCAGAGACTGGAATTCCACTGAGGTTTATCACAAGTATTTCCAAGTATCAGATTGCTAGTTTGTCATCCAAGAAATGAAAATGCCTTCCCAAGTTCCTCCCATGCCTCATCCAGCTCTCCTGTCACCTGGCTTATGAGGACTGTTCAACATTCCTGAAGGTAAATCTCTGGAGTACAAGACCTACAACACATTTTTATCTATAGTATTAACTCTGTGTCAGAAAATTTTTTCAAAGTTAGTTGAAAGAATAGAGGACAAGTGCATGCTTGATTGATGGATGTGAGCTTCGGAAGGAACTTACTATCCAGTATCGACCATACTAATATACACAAGAAGAAATCACATGAGCATTTGCCAGATTTAATGCTTCCCCTTCTATTGATCAGACATTTCAGACCAGGTTCTGGGAAATCAAGTATTAAATCCTACAGGCTTTGTGGGTTATAGATCTCTGTCATAACCACCTCGACTCTTCTTGTGTGATAGTATAGATAATATGAAAACTATAATTACGGTCCAGCACAATCTAAGACCCCCAAATTCAAATTTGATGTGATTTTCACGTCTCCAAATACTGGTCTTCTTTTCGTTTACTAAGCCATGTCCTACACAGACTGACCTAGAATTAGAAGCAATGAAAAAGGCAACAACACTGCATGGTGAAAGTCCTGGCAGAAAGTCCTAGCTACTCAGGAGGCAGTTTGAAACCAGCCGGATGGGGCAATAAACTCCCGGCGACTTTTTAATCTCCAGTTAACCGCCCAAACCCCGGAAGTAGAGCTGTGGCTAGAAGTGGTTGAACGCTAGCCTTGAGCAAAAGTAAAAACGCTCAGGAACAGCAACCAGTCTCTGAATTCAAGCCCCACAGCTGACCAAATAAGAAAGGGAAGGGAAGGAAGGAAAGAGGGGGGAAAAAAGAAAAACAGAAAACACAGCTGGTTGTTACTTTCTTTGGCCATGAACAATTTTCCTCCCTGGGATCATTCCTTATCTGTTTCCGGTGCTGCCCTTCAGAGATGTCCAACCTTCTGGCTACTTCTGTTTGACTAGGAGGCCTACGGGAGGACTGGAACACATTCAGGAGCAGAGAACTCGCTTCCTAAAGACGTTTCATTCACCTCAATCAATGAGCCTGTGGCCACCAGATGAAATAAAACGTTGGCTTCCATGTCCGTCATCAAGGGGACTTGCTCCCAGTCGGGGGACCCCTGCCTTTCCCCGGGTGCCCGTGAGTGGGCGCCTTTCGCCGTCCTCCTCCCCCGCGCCCCCTCCCCCCGCAAGCCCGTCTCGGGGGCTGCAGTCGTTCCGCAGCTCGCAGGTCACATGGCCTGCCGGAGCGAGGGGATCCCTGCGCTGGAGCGGCGCTGCGGGCGGAGGTGAGGCTCCAGCGCGCACCCCAACCGCGCCGCGCCCGCGCCTCCCGGATCCCAGACCCCGGATCCCGGGGTCCGCCAATGGCGCCTCCCCGGCGACCGGCCGGCTGCAGCCAGCCGGGACCACGCCACGGATGAATGACCTCGGGGTGCGCCCAGGACCCGGCTGACCGCCTCCGCCCGGTAGGTGTCCGCGCCGCAACGCGCGATCTGCCTGCCCAGCCCCGCTGGGCACGGCGGCCAGAGCCTCCCGCGAAGGCACGGGTGTGGGGTGGCCGCGGGAGAGCGGAGGAGGGCCCGCGTCCCCCGCCCCGCCGCCCTCCTCCCCGGCCGTGCGCCCCGGGCAGGCTGGCTTCGCCGCGGCCCTGCCCACCGTGCCCGCCGCTTCCTGTCGGAGGACCACAGGGCGCGCCGAAGGGCCGGGGCACGGCGCGGGGATGGATGGTGGCCTTCTCTACCCCTCGCCCGCGCTGTCAGGGCAGAGAGATGCGACTAGGGTATCGGAATCTGGGTAAGACTCCCGCCGAGCCAAGTGCCCAAGAACCCACGGCCTAATGGCCGCCCGTGAGCCGCGGACCCTCGCCGCGCGCTCCCCCCGCCCCCGCCCCGCGCGCCCCGAGCTCCGCCGCAGCCTCGGGCTCTCCTCTTGGAAACCTAGCCGGGGAACGGGGCGGGGGTTTGACCTGGCCAAAAGAAGGCGCCCCCTTCCAGCTCCCAGAAACACCAGCTAAAGGAATCCAGCCAGGCAATGGATGGCGACAGTCAGCCTGGGCCTTCGCGTGGGGAAACTGAGGCCTGAGGGCAGTGAGGATTGTCCAAGGTCAGACGCTGATGCTAGATCCTGTGCCATTCCTAATTAGGACCTCCTGGATGTGCCCTGCCTCCCACGCCGGGACCTTGGGGTTTGGGCGTCTCCTGTGCCGCACTGCGCCCGCCCTAGCTGGCCTGGGAACTTGAGTCCCTGGGCAGGTCGCTGTGACCCGGACACCTCCTGATGGGCGGCCCCAGGCTCTCCCAGGAGACTGACTGCAGGGCAGCTCCAATGATGATCTCACCATGCAGACCATTAGCAAAACCTGCAGGTGTGTGTGTGTGTGTGTGCGCGCCCGCGCGCGTGTGCGCGCGCGTGTGCTAGCCTGTGAGCAAGTGCTCTTCCCCAAGAGAACTAAAGAGAAATAATTATGTTAGGGGCAGATTTCTAAAGATACCTTATGCCACAGAAACTGAGGTGAAAGGAGAAAATTGTGCCTAATACCTAACATGAGGACAATTATTAGAAATGTTTTAAAAGAACAAATAGCCCATTCAGGAAACAGAAAAATCTAAAAGGGAAAATAGGATCACTTAAAACTCCATCTTTTAAATTGTTAAGGTTTCCTTGACATATTAAAATTTACATACACACATTCGAAGTTTTGCATTGATAACAACAGTGGTAGCATGTTTTCATTTGTATGCCTTGATTACCCTCAGGAATCAACACCTATTCCTATGTGTATTGTCTTTTGTATTTTTCTGAGGGTGAATTGACTTAATTCTTTTGCTCATTTTACCCTCAATTAGATTGTCTTTCTCTTCCTGATTTTGTGTTCTTCACATGTTATACATGAATGCAGCATTATCTATTGTATGTTGCAATAAAACAAGGTCATTTTTACTAGTTCTAATTTCAAATAAAATCTTTAGAATACTTCCAATATTTTTAAATTGTAGTGGTGGCTATATGGGTGAATGGATTTGAGTTGAAAAATTGAATTAAATGGTACATCGTATTTTATGTAAAATATACCATAGTCAAATTGATCTCTCTCTCGTTCTCTCTCTCGTTCTCTCTCTCTCTCTCTCTCTCTCTCTCTTTGGCTTGAACTCTGAGCCTGAGTGCTGTTCCTCAGCTCTTCAGTTCAAGGCTAGCGCTACCACTTAAGCCACAGTGCCATTTCTGGTTTTCTTGTGGTTTGTTGGAGATAGAAAAGTTTCATGGCTTTTCCTGTCCGGGCTGGCTTTGAACCACAATCCTCAGATTTCAGCCTTCTGAGTAGCTGGGATTACAGGCATGAGCTACTGGTACCTGGCAAATTGATCTATTTCTTAAGCCAGGAGAATTATTCTGGGTCATGAAAACCTACCTTTTCAGATATTAAAACATGTTATAAAGGTTGAGTAATTAAAATAACATGGCCCACATACACAGATAGAGAGATGCATAAACCTATAGTTGGGCATGATAGTGTACATCTCTAATCTCCAACATGCAGGAAGGTAAGGCCAGCGTGGCCTACATAACAAGATTATGCATATGAATGTATGTGTGTATGCATGCATAAATCTTTTTAAAATCTGCAAACACTCACACATACAATACTTTAAAAGAGAAAAATCTTTTATTAGGGTCTAGTGTTACAACACCAGGGTATCCACAAAGAAAAAGATCTCCTGGCTACTTCTCAAAAGTGAGTAAAATAGCCTGTTCTAAGGGCAGGATGTGGCGTGAGTGTGACATGAAAATTGTAGGATTGTGCACCAATAACACAACTTCTAGCTACCGCATTCACAAACCTTACATAGGGCAAATCATAATCCTTGAATAAAGGTTTCATATTGCACCAACCAGAGACTTTCTGTTGTCACTGAAAGAAGTATTTCTTCCTTACTCTACAGTGGAAATTGTAAAGTTATCTAGACCTCTTCAAAGCTTGTGATGGTTGAAGTTGGTGCAAGTTGTCTGAAACAGTTGGAGCAAGGCTTTCTCCATATAGGAATCCTCACTTGTAGCTGTAGTGTAGTTTCCTCTAGGCATTTATGGAGGGTTCAGAGACATCATGGTGTCATAATGGCAGTTCTCTCTGGCTCCAGAAGAACTGTTCAGGGAACAGCTCTCTACCCAAGGCAGATGGGCACAAGACAAGTGTCTGACAATTCTCAACGAGTCAAATCTGGCCACTAAAACTTAGCTTATTTAAAGGAGAATTAAAATTAGAAGAGTTTTTGCAATATTATGAACTTAACTTATTGCCAAATGCTGGTGGAGGTACACAGAGTACTTAACTTATTGCCAAATGCTGGTGGAGGTACACAGAGTACAGAGAGGGTACTCGGAGTTCAAGGGCAGCCTTCCATATAGCAAAGATTGGAATAAGTTAATAAATCATAATCATAGCAATCTAAATTAGGGATAAAAAATGGATTTAGGCTCCTTGACTGTCACATTCACTGCACCAGTGCCAGCTCAAGACCCACTGTTAAATCAGATGTTCAGTAAAGATCATGAAAGGGATTAATGTGTTCTTTGTAGAGATACAGAAAAATAAAAAAAAACAGAAATGTCCCATCATTTCCCTTCATCCTCCTCTAAATTATACTCTTTTTCCTTTTTAAATTTCTTTCCCTCTTGCTTTCCTTGTATCCTTCCTAGTACAAGCAAAGGTTAAGTGAAAATCCTTTATCATTTTTTTTTTTTTGGGTCCGGTCCTGGGGCCTGAACTCTGGACCTGGGCGCTGTCCCTCAGTTCTTCAGCTCAAGGCTAGCGCTCTACCACTTGAGCCACAGTGCCACTTCTGGCTTTTTTCTTTTATGTGGTGCTGAGGAATCAAACCCAGGGCCTCATGCATGCAAGGCAAGCGCTCTACCACTGAGCCACCTTCCCAGCCCTCCTTTATCATTTTTAATGGCATTTCTGCCAGGTGTGGTCCTGGAAGTAGAATTACTATATCAAAGATGACGCAAGGACTGCTCCAGTTCACAGGTGAGCACTCGTTTGTTGACTTGTACCACTCCCTCTTGAGGTAAATTGATCTGAGATTGTATTAAATATAGAACATAATTTTCGAGAAAGGCACCACTTAATATTACTGGTGGGAAAATGTCCTTTTTCTCCATTAGTGACTTTCACAGTTTCCTTTAGTAGAATTTTGTGGTGTGTCGATGTAGTTTGTGTATTTGCTAGGTGTTTTAGTTTGGATTTAACTTTTTTTTCATTTGGTCCCATGAATTAATTTTTGATTGGTTAGATGAAAGTATTTTATGCTTATAAATAGATAGTGTGCTTACATATATATATATATATATGTATATATAGGTGTCAGAATGATAATATATGTATGGATATATTTTTATACTAAACCATTACTTACCACTATATCCTAAAAGCTTCTTGTCATTTCTGTTGGTTTTCAGCTGCTTTTCTTGAGTTCTGATTTGTGCTGGGGCAGTGGTGCATCTAAGTTTTTAGAACCAGCCTCTCTGGACCCAGTTTTGCCACTTCATTAAAAGTTTTGTTTACCTTGAATAAAAGGGAATAGTGCCCTAGTTGTTTTTTCAGGGTTAAAATGGGCTTAATACTTTGTCATAGGTTTTTTTTTTTTATGAAGATCAATGAGATGCTAGAATTGTGCTTTACACATAAGTATCCACCAGATGTTTACAAATCAGTTGGTCTCTGAACATTATGAGGACAGCCAGCCTCTACTCCCAGTTGTGTAGCTCAGAAATTAAGGCCCATAGAAGTCAAAAGACTTAATATGATCTCGTATTTGCTCAACTGTCATTGCACCATTTCAATGTATGGAGGACTAGAGGGTACCAAAGATAAGTAAGACTACATCTACTATAAAGATATTTAAAATTCCTATTGGAGCATTAAGTCCAGGACCATAAATAAAGCCACGGGAGACAATAAGGCATCCTTGATAATGCATAGGCTTTGCAATGTGTCCTATGTTTCCATTTTCTGCTTTCAGTTTGCTTGCACCTATTTTACATCATCTCAGTAGAATTAATTCTCCTGAGATTTAAGAGTTTCTGAATTGGTCAGAAGGCCATAATTCCAAAGGCCCAGCACACCCTAGACCCTTAATAAGTACTCCTATTAGGGCTTAATAAATGGTCACTACAGAAAGATGTAGTCAGCTCCCTGTGCCTTAGGTTCTACATCTTTAGATTTAACTAATGGTTGATCAAAAATTCTCTCTCTCTCTCTCTATATATATATATGTATACATACATAAATATACACTCATATATCTATTAGAATATGTATAGTGGTTGTTTTTATTGCCATTATTATCTAAGTAATAAAATATAATTTCTATTTATTTCTGGTCAGGGGAGATCATGGTTGGCTCTCAGAAGTGCCTTTTGAATTTATTTTTCATGATTAAGTTAGGCCATGTAAGGAAAGAATGCTAGAAGTGGATGGAAACTGCAAGAATTTAAACATCATTCTTCAGCCATTGGAGACTGATGGAATAGTTTCACGGAAAAGAGTGCCATATTCCACCTGTGCTTCTGAATATCACCTCACAATGCCCCTTACATGACAAAGGGACTTGTAGCCAAAATCTTTTCATCTAGATAGTATCTCCATATGAAAGGTTTTCCCCTATTTTTCAAGACACAAAATAGGCCTAAGGAGAGAAATAACTTCATACAAATTGATCTAATTGTGGATTGTGGGGAGCAGAATTGGACTGAGATTTTTTTGTGTGAGAATTTTTTTTTACTGTGATTATAAAGGGAATATAGACAGGGATGTAATGAATACATTTATTTTTGGACAATGTCACCCCTTTCCTTCCTCTCTCCCAGTTTTTCCCTCCTGTCTCCACTCACAAGTTGTATAGTTCATTTTCAACTATAGTGTCTAATAAGTACCCTGCTGTATTTGTTCACCCTTTGTCCCTCCATTTCTGTGTCCTACCTTTTTCCTCCCAAAGACAGATAAACCAACAGACAAGGCTAAAAGAAAACAAAAATAGCAACAAAGAAAAAAAATCTATTGTTTCCATTTTCTGAAGTTCATTTTGATTTAAAAAAAACCCAAACATTATTTTATATGATCAGAGGCATTGTACCTTTGTGTTTCTCCCCTGGGACCAAGATACTTTGAATTCAAATCCGTTGTTTGTGCTGGGAGACCAGACTCCACTAATGAGCTTGCTGTAATCAACTGACCTAGAGGTGTTGAGGAGTAATCATGGTCTGGCAAGTGAGGAGGACCAGGCACAGGGACTGAAAGGAAAATGAGGACCATGGAAGTGACTGGTGGGCTGTGAGAAGTCAGAACTTGCCAGTCCCTTGGACTAGAGTACCTGGGAGAAAGGTGGTGCTATTCCTAAAGGAGGAAGACTTGGAAATGTGGACAGCCTTCAGCTTCTTAGCTCCTGATTCCCTAGCCTAGAATTCTGCCTCCTGCGCCCCAGGGCTCCTTCAGTTTAATTTTCTTTATCTTTTATTTGTCGGTTGTCTTTCATTTTTATTTTTGTTTTTAATTTGGGGCCTGGGTGCTGTCCCTGAGCTCTTTTGCTCAAGGCTCACACTCTATCACTTTGAGCCACTTCACCACTTCTGGTTTTCTGTGGTTAATTGCAGATAAGAGTCTCATGGACTTTCCTGACTGTGCTGGCTTTGAATCACCATCCTCAGATCTCAGCCTCCTGAGTAGCTAGGATGACAGGCGTGAGCCACCAGGGCCCAGCTTCCGTTTAATTGTCTAAAATGTAACTGTCACTGTTACTGCATTTCTTACTACAAGCCCTAATTCACGTGTATTCTTTGAGATCTTTGTCTTTCAATCTTTTTCTGAGCTCTACACCCTAGACCTGGTAAATAGGCAGATCCAGTTTGTGTGTGTGTATGTGTGTGTGTTCCAAAAGTGTGCTTTCCAGGCATAGGTAAGAGCTCAGTAAACACTGTCTCATAGAAACTGGAATATAATGGTGTGATTATTACTGGGCCAGCTCATAGTTAGCCTGCAGTTTACCTGGGTACTGGAGGGTGGGACTGAGCAGGTAACATCATGCCCTTTTGGAAAAAGCTATCCAAGTGATGTAAAACACAATCCTCTGTGCCCCACCCCCATGAGTGAGCTGAGAGCAAAGAATTACTCAAATTACCAGTGAAAATTCTCCTGCTTTGGTCTGTTCCACAAAGACCAGTTGTCGTAAAACTCTAGGTCTATAAGGTAAAATAAATTACAGAGGATGACAGACACCCATGCCACAGAGCAGCAGTTGTATAAATCTTTTAAGAAAATATTTTAAAAGGCAAAACAAGAACATACTCTTTAATGCTTACATACCTCCTGAAGTTTTTGCCAAACCAGTCCTTCAGCGATTGAAGGATGTAATCCTAACCAGTGTGGTTCAAGGTGGGTATGCTAGCTGTGTTGTTTCTCAAAATATTTTCTGCCTTTCCCTAGGGAGATCCGTATTTTCCCCTAATCATTGCCTTTGGTAGTGGTTCCTGCAGGAAAATTACATATCCCTGCTCTGCTGAACTGCAGAGGAATGATGTAACTTCATTTGGCCACTAAAATGTGAGTAGAAATGATGTGTGTCACTTTGGAATAGGAGCTTGAGGAGCTAGCTTATGGTTCACTGCTTCTATCTGTTGCAAAACAAACAGAAAAGGTAATTATGCACCCTGGTGTACAGACAACATGAAACATGAGCACAATTGATTGATATGGGCAAATGATGAGAATAAACACAAGCCTTACCTCTTGAGAGACAGAAAGACAGAGAAACAGAGAAAAAGCAATATATTATGTGGGGGTTATAGGAATTGAAAAACTAGAGCATTTCCCTTTAATCTACATCAGGATGAGTAGATAAATCTATGTATGAGGGGCTGGGAAGGTGGCTCAGTGGTAGAGCGCTTTCCATGCATGCATGAGGCCCTGGGTTCAATTCCTCAGCACCACATAAACAAAAAAAGGAAAAAAGCCAGAAGTGGCGCTGTGGCTCAAGTGGTAGAGCGCTAGCCTTGAGCTGAAGAGCTGAGGGACAGTGCCCAGGCCCAGAGTTCAGACCCCATGACTAGACCCCCCCAAAAAAAATCTATGTATGAGAGATATTGCTTCTAAAATAGATAATGTTCTCTTTATGTGTTAGCAGGATTGGGGGTAGAACCATATATGTCCTCTCCTCACAAAAAAATGTCAGTCTGGTGCTGCTGACTCATGCCTATAATCTTCCTGAGGTCTGAGGATCACAGTTCAAAGCCAGCCCAGGCAGAAAAATCTGTAAGATTCCAATCTCCAACTAACCAGCAAAAAACCATAAATAGAGCTAAGAGAGCTCCATCCTTGAGTTAAAGGGTTTACATGCTTAGACCTTGAGTTCAAGTCCCAATACTCACATACACATACACCAAAAAACAAAATTCACAGTAATTAAAAATACTCTAGGATGAGAATCTATTTAAGACTCGATTAAAGTAATATAAGAGGAGAGATGTGTTTTTATTACATGGTTGGTTTGTGTTTTTTTCTGGGACATATTTAAGGTAAAAATGTTTGTTGCTTCCCACCTGTAGTCATTTGAACTGTTTCTTCTCACATTTATCTAAAAAGAAAATAAAACCACCTTACAAACCACTGAGATTTGGGAATCATGGAAATCATGGTTGAAGCCTATTCTGTCTCTTACAGCATACAGTGATATTAGGGAACGTCTATTAGATCTTTTCCTTTATCCTAAGATGTAGAAATGATTCTGATTCTGCTTTTCTTTTCTGTGAGCTTTCACTTCTGCTCTGGGGAAGGAAGTACTTCGCTTGTCTCACTGCTTAGTCCAGCGGATAATGGTGTATGTGCTCAATTAGGGGCACACTTTAAACAAGGATAGAAGTAAATGTGTCTACTTGAAGGCCTCAGCTTCTATCCATCATAGAGCTTGCCTAAGTAACTGTTTTCCTCTGTCTGCACTTTGATCCAGAATGGAAAACAAGTCAAGTGGTTTATTTTCAGCCTCCAGTTGGACCACACCTGTCGATAGACTTTTGTACAGGAATTTCATGTCATATCATACATTATGAATACCTGAGCTGTTCATTGACCCAGTAAGAGCTGGTCACTTCTTCAGGCAGAGATCATGAGTTCTGTGAGCTGAATCGTTCTTCCCTGGAGGGAACTGACGGGGCTTTAGCGGTTGTTAATAACTTTATTGGCCCTAGTTAGGAAAATTACCTGGGGTTAAAGTTCTTTCATTTCGGCCCCACCTAACATTATATTCAGCACACAAAATGTATTGTGTTCTTGGCATTTTCTTAGTAGTCTGCCTGATCTTACAAACTTTTTTGTTGAGCAGCGTCATCTACAAGGGTCACCATTTTAACTAGGCTATTTTTTTCTTTCTTTCTTTCTTTGTGTCAATATTATGGGCTTGAACTCAGGACCTTGCACTTGTTAGGCAGACATTCTATGGCTAAGCTATGCTTCTCAGCCCTTTGTGTGCACTGGTTGTTTTTGAGATAGAGTCCTGCTTCTTTCTCTGGACCAGGATCCTCCTATTTTATTTTATTTTAATTTGCTTCCCAAGCATTCATCAGCACAACCAACTTCTTCCACTGAGATGGAGTCTTGTGGATTTTTCTGCTTTAGCTGACCTAGAACCATCTCACCTTCCCAAATGAGATGACAGGCATGAGCCATCAGTGTCCCGCAAGAGGCTCATTTTTAGTTCTATTATATTATTTGGTTTTGAATTGGCCCTACACTTTTCATACTAGTGTTGTCTTTGTAATTCTGTGGGTTGTTGCAAGTCTGTTTTCTATCACAAAATTAAATCTCTGTACTTCCAAAACAGGACATTAAGTGTGAACATGGGTGCATATTTTCATGAATTTTTACCCTGCACTTACTCCCTAACATGTTTAACTTTCACAATAATATCATGGCCTGTATAGGAGAGGTATTTTCTCTCATTGGTTCCAATGATAGTTTATTGAAAATAAAACAAGAGCTTGACACCTGTAATTGTAGTTATGCAGTGAGGCTGACAGCTGAGGATTGAGGTTTGAAGCCAGCCCAGGCACACACATTCATGAGACTATTACCTCCAGTTAATGAGCAAAAAAGCCAGAAGTTAGAAATATGGTGGTAGGGTGCCAACCTTGAGTAAAAAGAGCCAGATGAGAGTGTAAGACCTGGAATTCAAACCACAACACCAGCACACACAAACCCACACAGATTAAAATAAGAGAACAATCGGTATTAAATGAACTTGCAATTTGAAATACATCGTATGAGATAAGAAAAATTTAATAGAAGATGACATAAAATAGCACAGAATCCTAAATATGAATAGTAGATGACATTAAATAACAAAATCCTAAATATTCCATCTTAGGGAATCTTGAGGGGTTTTTGGGGTGGTAGTGGTGGTGGTAGTTATGATTAAAAGCTAGTGTTTTACCTTTTACCATTCTCTGTTTCCCTCTCTCTTTAGATTTGACTTGTGATTCTGGCCAGAGTTCCAGGATGGTTTGTTCTTGGGACCAGACTTGACCAAAAGTTGACCTGATGAGTGTGTCAGCCTCTCCAGCTGCCATGCTTCTCCGGAGGCTACGGCGACTCTCCTGGGGCAGCACCGCTGTCCAGCTCTTCATCCTGACGGTGGTAACGTTTGGCCTGCTGGCTCCCCTGGCATGCCACCGCCTTCTCCACTCGTACTTCTATCTGCGCCACTGGCATCTGAACCAAATGAGCCAAGAGTTTCTGCAGCAAAGCCTGAAGGAGGGCGAGGCTGCCCTCCACTACTTTGAGGAGCTGCCTTCGGCCAATGGCTCTGTGCCCATTGTCTGGCAGGCCACACCCCGCCCCTGGCTGGTGATCACCATCATCACTGTGGATAGACAGCCCGGCTTCCACTACGTCTTGCAGGTGGTGTCCCAGTTTCACCGGCTCCTGCAACAGTGTGGCCCCCAGTGTGAGGGCCACCAGCTCTTCCTGTGCAATGTAGAGCGCAGTGTGAGTCACATGGATGCCAAGCTGCTCTCCAAGTATGTCCCCGTGGCCAACCGCTATGAGGGCACTGAGGATGATTATGGCGATGACCCTTCGACCAACTCATTTGAGAAAGAGAAGCAGGACTATGTCTACTGCCTAGAATCATCGCTGCAGACTTACAATCCAGACTACGTACTGATGGTGGAAGATGACGCCATTCCCGAAGAGCAGATCTTCCCAGTGTTGGAGCACCTCTTGCGGGCTCGCTTCTCAGAGCCCCACCTTCGAGATGCGCTGTATCTAAAGCTCTATCACCCCGAGAGACTGCAGCACTACATCAACCCAGAACCCATGCGGATCCTGGAGTGGGTTGGTGTGGGCATGTTGCTAGGGCCCTTGCTAACCTGGATATACATGAGGTTTGCCAGCCGTCCGGGGTTCAGCTGGCCTGTGATGCTCTTCTTCTCCCTGTATAGCATGGGCTTGGTGGAACTGGTGGGCCGTCACTACTTCCTGGAACTGCGGCGCCTAAGTCCTTCCTTGTACAGCGTGGTTCCTGCCTCTCAGTGCTGCACCCCAGCCATGCTCTTCCCTGCCCCTGCCGCCCGCCGGACCCTCACTTACTTGTCCCAAGTGTACTGCCACAAGGGCTTTGGCAAGGACATGGCCTTGTATTCATTGTTGAGGGCCAAGGGAGAGCGGGCCTATGTGGTAGAGCCAAACCTTGTGAAACACATTGGACTCTTCTCCAGCCTCCGGTACAACTTTCATCCCAGTCTGCTCTAGGGGAAAGAAATGTCTTTCTGAACTTGGCCACTTCCTACAGATTTGCCTATCAAGCTCTTTATTTAGACGTGGTTGCTTGCAGAACATTGCATTGTTTAATGTTGTTAGGAATAAAGGCACTGGCCTACCCGAGGGACACGTGTAAGTTAAGGGCCTTGACATTGGTAACCCCTGGCAGGAGTGGCAGTTTGGCATAGGTCTGAAGCCTTCTTTTCCTCCACATAGCCACACTGCCTCATGCAGTCTGCCCCACCCAACGAGGGTGCATGGAAATGCCAGTTACGTTCTCCACCACGTGTTTGTAAGCCCTGCCTTGTGATAGAGCTTGTGACTGCCAGAAACCCTGTGCACAGTGATAACTGACTGTTTTTAGGATTTAAGGGTAGAAGTTGATGAGAGGTGAGATCCTTTTAAATGGTCTTTCACATTGGGAATGAGAATGTATGTATGTTTAAATGTATATGCCCAGAGAAGTAAGACCATGTTGACATATTCTATTTGTTTCCTTGACCTGGTGAAATAAAAGCTGATAAAACTTGTGTGGTGCTGGGCGTCTTGGGGATGGGATGGGGGAGAGAGGCAGGTGATCGGGCTCCTGCGTGATTGGCATTTTCTTTCCTCATGTATCTGTAGTGCCAGGAGAGGTGCGACATTTCAGCAAGATCCACATCGATTGATTAGACTTAATAGTGATTTCATATTGAAAATTTCAATCAGATTCTGCTTGTTTGGCAGCTAGACATTTCAGAATGTGAAATGTGATATATTCTTTCCTGGCTAATGGAAACTATGTTCATTTCTTTTTCTTCTGCTAGTATAGAAGAAAAAGCATGGACCATGAAGTCAAAAAAACCAAACTTTTGTTTCAGATCTCTGCCATTGTTTACAGATGCAACCTTGGACCTTGAGTCTCCATTTCTGTAAAATTGAGGACATAGTATCTACCTTTTAAGGTTGCCCTGAAGATTAAATAACAGTATATGTGAGTCAGTTTACAAATTATTAACCCACAAACACACTTGTCAGATGCCCCTTTCTCTCCTGTAATAAGCATACAGGATTTCAGTGTATGTTTGGTAAACGTGTTAGTGATGTTGTTAAAGGATGACATAGAACATGGAACAGACACCTGTATCGCAGCTGGTTGAGACCTTTCACTTCTAAGAAGCTAGCCACTCAGTTTTCATCTATAGCGCCTCCCCCCCTCAATATCCAACTAATCCAAAAGTGAGTTGTACATTTAAGCTGGAAATGAACTAAGACTCCTATTGAATTTATTCCAAGACTCTCATCAAATGTCCTTTGACAACATTATTAAACCAGTGGCCAGCAAGTCCCTCTAATGGGAATGCACAATGGCATTAGACAGAGTTCAAGCAGCTGTGCAATTGGTTTCACTCCCACATTTTCTATTTGCTTTTCAATTTCCATAGTGAAACTCTGTCTTGAGGTCTGCTCATGAATACTGGCAGAATGTAGAGATGGATCAGCAATGCTCTGCAGATGAAGGAATTGTGGCTCAGAATTGGGAAACATTCCCACAGCTGAAAAGCAGCACAGAGGATGGGCCCATACTTCTTCTGACTTCCAGTTCCTCTACTTTCTTAACTACATTAATTCTATGTGGTCAAAGTCACTTCTGCAAAGTCCATTTGTGACTTGGACTTTAAGGTAGTTTTGAGGAAAAAGTAACTTATAGGTTCTGTTATTCTAAGCTGTTAGGAATCTAACATCTCTCCGTGTTCAAAGTAATCAGACCTACATCAGACTAACTTATATGATGATCAGATTCTACTCCATTCCCTCTCCCCCAGTCATTAGCCCATCATCAAATTTTAGAACTGAACCACTACCCACTTGGAACTCAGAGGTGTTTATTACTTTAAAGATTGGCCAGACCAATGACAAGAGAGTCATTCTCTAGCCAGGTCCTGGACACTTCTGGCTTACATTTTTGCTCTTCATAATTTAATTGTTCACTGCATGTGAATATCTCTTCCATAAATGCTATTCTGGGTGGCCAAGGATATCCTCTCTTATCCACTTTCTCCACCTACACACCAAGGTGTCTTTTCCCATTGACCTTAATGAAGGTATTCAGGTCTTGAACATTTTCTGCAGGTATCAGATCCATTTTGCCCTTTCATTCTTCCTATCTTACTCCTTATTCCTAGAGTCTAAAATTTTAATGTGGTACACTTGATTCAGATAGCCAAAACATTTCCACCATAGCTGGGGTCTCATTTAGTTCCTGAGCAAGAGATTATAGGAGATCTGGAGTACACCTTCCATATCAGGGACATAGGTTAGCAGGTGGTAGAGTTCTCTAACAATCGCGCACACCTATCAGCATTCACCTTATAATCCAGTCTAAGAAGCTCCCTGTTGTGGCCAAGTGTATTTGTATCAACATGCCAGTTAAATGCCCTTATTCTGCCGTGGCTTTCAAAGGAGACTTGTCATATTTTATCTTTGGGTTGATGGCCAAGAGTACCCCTCCATGTACACACAGGCTTATGGAGTCTAAGGTAGTCATTCAAAAGTACTGTCTGTATAAGCAACCACAATCATAGGCCAAGCAAGTCTTACATCTTTTTTCTAGATATAAAAAGATTGAGGGCCACCAGACCATCACACCTCCTCCCCCTTACACATTAATATAAACTCAGTACTATTAATATAAACTCAGTAACCTAAAAGTCCTCATGGGGCTGTGAAGCTCCCACAAGCGGTGTTGGTGTCTAGATGGTTTTCATTGAAACACCAAGAAGGTAAAGACAACACAGGCCAAAAGACAAGTTTCATACTTTCCCCAGATAGCAACACACAGGGACCTGTTCACACAGAGAAGCAAAGCTATAGTAATAAAGTGAAAAGTAGTGAGTGTGGTGCTGTAAGAGTTGTCTGCACATCTTACACCTTCTGTGTAGAATCTACATAAACAACAACTCCCACATGGTATACCACTAACTCTTCTGACTTGGATCTCATGCTTTTTTGGGGGGGGCGGGAGGAGGTCCGGTTGTGGAGCCTGAACTCTGGGCCTGGGTGCTATGCCTCAGCTCTTCAGCTCAAGGCTAGCGCTCTACCACTTGAGCCACAGCGCCATTTCCGGCTTTTTTCTTTTTGCTTATGTGGTGCTGAGGAATTGAACCCAGGGCCTCAGGCATGCAAGGCAAGCACTCTACCACTGAGCCACCTTCCCAGCCCCTCATGCTTTTTTTTTTTAGTCTTATTTCTCTGCCAGCAGCTCTTTTTTCTACACAGTTCTGTTTTTGCTCATTCATTCATTTATTCATTGCTTCTTAGGTATCATGTGATTCTAGCTGCTGGAAATATGATTGATGCACCCAGGAGTAAGCTGCAGGCTGGCTACTTTGAACAGAATGGCAACACTTGTAGAGCAGATCAGAATTAGTCTGAATTAATGTGAAAAGATTTAGCCTAGGGAAAAGCATTCCAGATGGTACAAAGTCTTTGCAATTAAGAGCCAATGTAGAGATGCACTAGGTCCTAGGTATGCATACATGCATGGGGACCTTTCCCAGCTGTGGGAGCTAAGGAGTTGTGGTGCACCCCACTTGGATTCCAGGAAGCCCAGAGATTCCCTGTGGCTGTGATGATCAACCACTATGGAGAGCCTGTGAATCTGACATCTTGTCCACTGTTCTGGTGGTGGGAGTCCCCAGTATGCACTGCAGGACTGGTCTCAGAGGAGTGACATGATCAATTGTACCTTGCCAGCCACCATCTTGGTCAACCTGCATGGACAAGATCACCCTGACATCTGGATACTGAAGCCCTAGTTGGGGTAATGCTTCTCACCATCCCATACCTCTGTTTCAGAGAACTATCCAGTTTCATGGCTTTGTATCCTTTACTGTTCAAACTTGTGTTGTGCATCTGTACATGCTGGTAGTTGGGCTAGACCTGGTTTTCAAGGATGGGAGGCATTTCATGCCTTTTGCAGGAACAACTGTGTTCTCAGTAGCTGCATAATTAATCCCAGATTACTATGCAATCCCCTTATGTTGACTGTTAAATTGATAGAACCATGGTGTATTGACTTTGGGCTTCCGTTTGCTATTGAGGCCTCTTAGCCATTCCTGCAGATTTTGGGGAATATTGGTTGCCAGCATTATTGCTACCCTAACTCTTCTTGCTAGCACTACTGCTTCTGCTGTGACCCTTGTAGAAACCATATATGTACAGCACAACATGTTAATACTTCACCTCGAAATGTTTCTGGTGTCCTTGGGATGCAGGTGAGAGTAGATAAAAAGATTGTGGAATGTCTAAATGATTTGGAAACAGCCATGATGTATGTTGATAATCAGGTAGACCTGTTGAAGACCCTGTTAAAAAATGATGCGCCATGCTAATTATCAGCACATTTGTGTTATGCCTCTTACATCTGATGGATATATGACTTGGACCAATATCCAGTGACATATTCAAGGAATCTTGTCCCTTGATAATTTGAGCTTTGGAATTATGTAGCCTCAGGGGTAGCTATATGACATTGTTACTCCACACAGCATGTGGATTTAGCTGCATCAGTTCTCCACTACCTGCAGGGATTTAACCTGGGGAATCTATTACAGCACTCCTTTTGGTATTTCTTAGACAGTTTCCTGTTTATCATTTTAGAGTTCCTTTTTCTGCCATTCTTCCTGAGATGTATGTTCTGCTCCTTTGTCCAGGTCCAGGCTGATATACATTTGCTCAATTTAAAAAATATAATAGGGGGAGATGTTGTAGACCCTGGGATGTCAGGAGCTGGCAAGGTGTGAGCAACGGCTCCACCACCATTGACTCCAACCCTCAGCGCTACAGGTGCTTGCCTTTTTGGTTGGAGGAAGTGTTCCTTTTAGCTTCTGGGCATGGGGGCTTACCCTTTTTATTTTTTAATTTTTTATTGTGAAAATACCATACAGAGGGGTTACAATTACATGGGCAAGGTAATGAGTACATGTCTTATCAAGCATTGTTGCCTCCTCCTTCGTTTCCCCTTCCCATCCCTTCCCATCTCTCCACTCCCCTGCTACCCCCTCCAGTCCCCCCACCCCTTTCACCACCCCCCACACCAAAGTTGTAAAGTTCATTTTTGACATAACGTCTTGTACATCTCATTGTTGCAATGAGTCCACCTGTATCCCTATTTAAACGATTTGTTTTTTCCTTCCCCTCCACAAATTATACCAACATCAAATACAAATGGGGCAATGTTATTCTTTCTGATGATCAGAGGCATAATATTCCATTGTGTGTGTGTGTGTGTGTGTGTGTGTGTGTGTGTGTGTATATATAGAGAGAGAGAGAGAGAGAGAGACCACATTTTCTTGATCCATAGGGTAACTCGATAGAAGTACTTTGAGAACTTCTAAATTTCATTGAACTCTCTCCTTTAAAGTGGTCTATGTTATGAGAATTTTGCTTCAATAAAATTTTTACAAATAAGATAGATTCTCATCTTGTTAAATATTTTCATTGTTTTATTACAAGATTCACTTGTCCAGAAAGACAAATCCAATTATAAAAGATACAGATGTAACAAAA